TCTGATTTTTTTTACCGTCATTGTGTACACTTCAAATTTGAGATTTTACCTTCCAAATTAAATCATGTTTTTGGTAGCAGCATTTGTCATGTTAGAAATAGAGTCATGTTTCACTTAACAATGGGGATGAATTCTGAGAAATGTATTGTTAGGCGATTTCATCACTGTGTGAACATCACAGGGTATACTTACACAAACCTGGTAGCCTAATACATACCTAGGCTACATGGTATAGCTTATTGCTATATATCTCATGTATGTGACTCGTTGTTGACTGAAACATTGTTATGAGGCACGTGGCTGTAAAGAGAAGCAAAGATTTGTTTAAATATCTAATCTAATTTCATGAAAGAGTGGTTTCAAATGAGGTTATATTAAAACATCTTTTAATGTTTCTATTCATCCCAATTCAGGACTCCTCCCACTATCACCAATTGAATGATTGCTTTGATTTGCATTTTTTCTGATTATCAATGAGTCTGTGTTCATATATTTGGTAGCCAATTAGGGTTTGCCTTTCTGTGAATTCTTGTTTATATCTTCATCTCATTTCTGATTGGCCGTCTACATGTGCAGAAATTCCTTATATCCCAGATTCTTTACATACTAGATATTGGTTACTTCTCCCCATTTGGCATCACTCTATGTTTCTCAGTTATTTCATTAGGGGAACAGAAGTCTTTGATACTTTAACATTATTAAATTCATCTTTTTTTTCCCCCTAAAAGTTTGAGTTTGGATCTCATTTAAGAAATTTTTATCCACCTGAGTTCACAAAGATATCCTCATATTTATTAGCTTCTTGTTTTTCCATTTCATATTTAAGTCTTTAAAGCTAAATGTCGGATGAATAATAGCATTAATTTGTATCATGTATTGATCCAGATTTCCTAACATCACCTACTATACAATCTGCTCTTTCCTCTCCAATGCACAGTTTTCAGCTCTTTCAGATGGAACTTTTGTTCCATCGTTTAATTTTTTGTTTCTTCATAAGTACATGTAGTTTTTATTACTATGGTCTTTTTGTTATGTCTTAAAATGTGTTAGGGAGAGATTCCCTTTTTTTATTTTCTAAGTTGATATATCTATTCATGGATATACACACACATACACATGCACATGGACTACACACCCACACATGCTACACACACACACACACACACACACATCATGGACTAAGTTTATTAAGTTCCTAAAAAAATACAGCTGGAATTTTGGTTAGTGTTACATTGAATTTATAGGTTAATATGCAGAGCATTGATATCTTTATAGTGTAATTTGCTCCACCAATAAACATGTTATCCAAAATTTATTCAAGTTTTTCTGAATGTCTCTTAGGAGAGTTTTAAAATTTTCTCTCTAGGTTTTGTATAATTTTTGCTAAGTTAATTCCTTTGTACTTTTAATGTATTCATTATAATGAATGATACCAATTTTTTACTGAAAATTTTTAGCTGGTTATTAGGGGTTTAGGAACATTCTGGATTTTGTAAGTTAACCTATATTTGGAAACCATGCTAAACTGTTTATTGATTCCAAGTTTTTCTGTTTATCCAAGTAGTTTTCCATGCACACGATCATCTCTCTTACAAGTAATGACAGTTTTTCTTCTTTTTTTTCCAATCCTTACACCTTTTTTTGATATTAAATAATAAAGATAACAGTTACCTTTTTCTTGTTTCTGAATTCAAAGGCCATGTCTAAAATTTCTTTAAGTACAATATTTGCTGCAGTTTGGCCAGTAAGCATATTATCAAGTTTAGAAAATGTTTTATTATTCCAATTTTCTTTGTCTTTATAATAAATACTTTGTTGAACTACGCAATTTTTTGGCACCTGCTGAGACAGTCATATGAATTTCCCACAGTAGTCCACTCATGATAAATTACATTGACAGATTTTCTAATATTAAACATTCTGGGAATTTTTCTGCTTTATATTTGTAAATAAAACAAGACTATAATTTCATATTCTTGTATTTTTCTTTCCTGAATTTGAAATTAAAGCCTCAAAGAAAGAGCTTAGTAATTTTATATTTCTCCTTTTTTGGAACATATGTAAGATAGAGATTTTAATTCCTTAACAATCCTCTCGGTCTGTGGCTTTTTTTGCAGGGGATTTTTTTTTTTTTCAATTTCAATTTAATTGCTTTCAAAATCATTGGCCTATTTAATTTTTAAATCTTCATGACTAATTTGTACTTTCCGAAATTTACCCATTTTGTGTAAGATTCAAATTGATATGACTGTTCAAAATATTGTGTTTTTTTACTATTTGTTAAATCAGTATTAGTTCTCACTTTTTATTCTATATTGAATTTACTTTTATCTTTTANTTTTTTACTATTTGTTAAATCAGTATTAGTTCTCACTTTTTATTCTATATTGAATTTACTTTTATCTTTTATTTTCTTAGTAAATCTTACCACAGGTTTGTTCAATTAATCTCTAGGAAAAAATTCTTTTTATATTTATTCAATTTTTGTTCCTTTTTATTGATTTCTGCCTTTAGTTTTATTATGTCCTTTCTTCTCAGTTTGTTGTGTTCACTGTTTGCTCAACATTGGTATCTAATAAATACAGTTAAGATGATATATTAATTCAGAGTTCTCATTTAAATCTGTTTAGGAACTTTAATGCCACTTTTTTCTTTTTTTGCAAAGCATTATTTAAACTATATAAGCAAATTTCTTCATTTCCAAAGAGTCTTTAAAGGAATGTTCACACTTAATGATGGCAGGGATTTAATTTTTCCTCTTTCATTCACTGTTCTGTGTCCTAAATCTCTATTTTTTGTGTTTTGAACCTATTTTTATGTTGTAATTACTGATATAACTTTTTCATTTTATTAATTTTCATATTTTATTTTAGTACTTTATTTTACTTATTATTATTTAGCATTTTACTTAGTATATTTTTATATTTTAGTATTTTATTTTAGCATTTTCCTCCTATTGTGTCTTCCATTAGTCTAAATATTCTTCTGCTAGTTTAAGTCATACTTTATGCTTATTTTTCTGTCTTCTAACTTACTAAGGATAATATGTATGTTCGTTTTTAAAAGTCAGTTTCTTATCTTTTCCAAAATATATACCGTAGCATAATTCTCTCTGCCTTTCATAATCTCATTTCCTAACCTCAGTCCTCCTTCCATGTAGGTCTGAATTATTTAAT